ACTTATACATGTTGAAATGGGGAAAAGAAAAAAGAGCATTGGGAGAGATGAAAAAGGAAGAGAGTAGGGATGGAAAAAAGTCAAAAATGGAAAGAGAGAAGTCAATGAGTGACATGAGGGGAGACCATGAAAAAGACAAAAAATAAAAGGAAGAAACATGGTATTTAAATAAAAAATTAAATATTATTTTTTATTATTAAATTAAATTTATTTTTATTACTACCCATCTGATTCTAAATTGACTCTGATCTAACTCACTATCTCGGCCAATTTACTAATCAGTTCGGTTCTAAGTACCTTATTTTTTAACCATCTTTTTAGTTAAGATGAACAAAGAGACTGCAAAGTTGCTGCAGCCTTCATTCTACTACTTTTGTTTCTTTTTTCAGGATGTTTAGATATTTCTAAAGAATATTTTTTAAAAGTATTTTTTATAAATTAAGATAAATTTTTTTACTTATTAGAAAATTATTTTTAAAATTATAATTTGATTTCTATTTAAATAGTTTTTTTATCAGTCGCTGTGCACTTCGTTACAAAAATAAATGAGAACAAGCTGCCTCAAGAATTAGGTTGGGCCTGCGCCAGGAAATCAGCATCTCTAGTTTGTCATTAATTAGCGAAAAGTCACCGTAATCCAGATCATTCATGCGTGTTGAAGCAGGGAAAAGAAACGAGAGCATTCACGTGTTGGAGAGAGATGAAAAAGCAAGAGAGTAGGGATGGGAAAAAAGTAAAAAATAAAAAGAGAGAATTCAGCAAGTGAGTGACGTGAGGAGAAACCCAAAAAAAGAACAAAAGTAAAAGGAAGAAAAATTTCACATGGTATTTAAATAAAAAATTAAATATTATTTTTTATTATTAAAATATAAATACTTTTTGCGTTTTCATTAAATTAAATTTATTTTAATTATTACCTGTTTGACTCCAGTCTAATCCACTGACTCTTGATCCACTATCTCGAACAGTTCACTAACCGGTCCGATTTTAGTTAAGATGGACATAGAGACTGCAAGTTGTTGCAATCTTTGTTCCACTACTTTTGTTTCTCCTCAGGGTGTTTGGATATCTCTAAAAATATTTTTTAAAAGTATTTTTTAAAATTAAGATAAATCTCTTCATATATTTATATTTCACTATATTATTTCTATTAATCACTTCTAAAAAAGCCCGCGCCAGGACATTAATATCTCTAGTTTGTCATTAATTATTGTTCTTATATACTCCTATATTATATTTAACATATTTCATAATATAACATGTTTTTCATTTAAAATATTAATTTTCCTACCTAATATTCTTAACCAAATATAAATTAATCAAACACATAATCCTTTTTTTGCCGGAATCAACCAAATAATCTTATTGATAGTAATTTTGATACGTCTTTCAATTCTCTGTATGAGTTATAATTTTTCAGATATGACTGATTTTTTTAATACTTGTATATCTATGAAATTCTAATTCACCTTTTTTGTATTTTTACCCATATTCGTCAGTTGTCTTTGCATTTATTCTCTCCCTTTAGGTAGACTCTCTTTCACCTTCTTTTTCTTACACATTTTTCCTCATTTTTCACTCATTCCATCTTTCAATCATCCTTTCTATAAATAAGGTATATTTGGAAAGAGAAAAACGTTTCTTACAAATTTGTTACATTTAATTAATTTTAATTAAAATTTTAATTTACGTAATTTAATTACTTATATCTTACATATAAGATTGGAGGGAGTGTTTGATAAAAAATGACTAATTTTAACTAACTTCATTAATTTATATGTAAATTCTTTTATTGTGTGTTTATTGTAAGAACCAGATAGAGTAATATTTTTAGCTGCAGGCTTGCCATTTTTCAGGATATTCTATGGCCAAGTTCTCAACATTTCTTTCCATGTTTTTTTTCAATTCACGTTGTTGTTCGGTATTTCCGTTTTTATCTTTTTATTAGGCCTCTTGGTCTTTATTGGTTTCGTAATTTCTCATCTAAAGGAGTATATTTGGTTGAGGATCATTTTATTTTTTAATAAAATTGGTTTTTTTTTCAAAATTTTTTTGGCAGATATAGATATATTTCTATTGGAGATAATTCTGTTTAAGATAGGTACTAAATGTGATTACTTTTTTAATGGAAATTTGATCCCTCATTGGTTTTATTTTAATCAAGTCTTTTGAAGAAAACTGTAGTAACAATCGCACGTAGTTTTGCTTTTGCCTCTATTCCAGTGGACCCATGCTGCTCAGTCCAAATTGATTAATAATTTACCGGCCTCTGTTGTGCAGACGTAGATGATGATGAATTTAAACGTGGACAAAAGATATAAATTTAAATAAAAATATATTAAAAATATGAAATAAAAATCAAAATAAAAATCCATTCTTTTACTCTTTTTCCTTAGGTCCTCCTTGGTTTGCCGGTGGTGGCGTGGGGGGGGGGAGGATAAGGAAAGTTTTACTCTCACTTTATTTGATTTGATTAAAAAAAAAGGAGACAAAGATATTTAATAATCTCTTATTTGATTTAAGAGAGTGGAGGGAAGGATAGTAATAATGAATTTATCATTTTATCTTTATATATTAATTTATATTTTTTATTAATATATTATATAAACTAATTACATCTTAATTTAAATTATATAATTTAATAAAAATTCTGTCTTATCATGTTAACATATGCATTAAAAAATTGGTACAGTATTTTTTATTCTAATTAATACAATAAAATATTTGAAATAATCAAATTAACAAATTTGATATGCTTTGAAAAAATGAAATTTTATTCTCGCTATGCTTTTTTTAGCTTTAAAATATATTCAATAAAAATAATATATTTATAAAAAATATTAAATTTATAATATTATAATTTTTATTGAAATAATATTTTTTATTTTTTATTTAATTTTATTATAATATATTTTTAATGAAATACATATTATTATAATATATTTTATGGGTAATAGTAAAATATCAAATAAAAAATATAATGGTATAGTGATCCAAAATTTTAGTTACCCTCCAAAAAAACCTTAATTTTTGGAAGGGAGCTAAAATGAGGATAGGAGGATAGAGGGGAGATAACATTTTGGCTTCTCTTCTCTTCAAAATTTGTAACTAAATGAGGGGAAGAGTTCATTTTCCCTCTCCACCACTTACATCTTACTTATCCATAGGATACGATTTATGTTGAGATTTTAATATCAACTAGTCATTTTTTTTTTCACCCGAGTTCATTTTGCTTGAACCAAGTTTAAATAAAAAAATTAATAATTTTACTAATGCTATCCAAAAGGTATTAGATCGGATCAAATTTGTTAATTTTGATCTTCTAAATAATTATTATGTCAATTAGAGATATAAAAATGGGGAAATTGAAAAAAAAAGACCTCGGAATTGCAAAAACGCAGATAGAGACCCTTGACAACTTCACTTTGGGTTTTGACAACTTCATGATATATTATTATTGTTAAAACCCAAAGTGAAGTTGTCAAGAATCCTTATCTGCGTTTTTGCAATTCCAAGGTCTTTTTTTACAATTTTCTCTATAAAAATATCATCATATTAATTGCTTTATACACAAAGTGACACGTCGACATGAGAGTGAATTTTTATAAATTATAAAATTTGAAATAAGGTTTGAATTAATTTATATAATATAGAAGTTAAAAAAAATCTAAAATAGCATGTAAGAATATAATGATAAATTAGTTATTACCTCCCCTTTGCTTTTCTCTTAAACCAAAGAAGAGATCATTAAAAATTTCTTACTTCCCTTTTCTTCCAACTAAATCAAACAAGATAAGATTAAAAACTTTCCTTCCTTACCCTACCCTTCCTTTCTCTACCACTCCTTCAAACCAAATAGGCCCTTACTGATACAAGCAAAATACCCATGTTTCAACTTTCCAACCCACAGGAATACAATGACAAAAATAAAGTAAAAAAGTTAATTATTAGATTTATTTTTAATTTTAAATTAAAATGTCTATTCTATTTATCTTTAGAATTTTTTTTTTTGAGACTTTTCATACTAACTCTATCCGTAATATAAAAACTAATTAACTAATTTAAGTATATTAAAATTTTTTTAAATTATTGTAATAAATATGTGTTATTTTTCTTAAAATACCCTTACTAATCATGTGTATTGTTAGAAGTACCATTTGATATAATATTTAACATGTATAACTATTATAATGATTACTTTGGAGAAAATGAATAAATATAAAAAACCAAAGAGGTGTTTGGGTAACCCCAAAAGTATTTTTTGGCAAATCGAGTCAAACTCCTCTACACATTTAGAGCTTGCTTGGCTAAGTCGTATGATCTCAAATAAATCCGTTTAAATCTGAATAAGTGATTATGAAGCATGTTTGTCTCATTTAAGTAATTTTTATAAAATCCCGATAAATCATGATTTTACCCGTCTACCGCACTTTTAAGATAAACAACAAGGAGTAGCTTATGCGTTTAAAAAAATCCCTATCAATCTTCAGCACCTAAATTTTCTCTAATTTATCTTCTCACGCTCTTTCAAAAATCTCTCCTCAAATATTATCTCCTACATTCTTCCACAATTTTTAAAATCACCTATATAAAAAAATAAACAGAAATTATGATTAATCAATATCACTTATGGCCCGTGTCACTTATAAAATTCACGATTATATGAAATTACAGTTATTCACGGCTAATCCAAACAGATACTTATCTCGTATGTATTTTTAAAATCATAATTTTATTTCTATCCAAACAATCTAAGTGAATTGAAATTTTATATTTATAACTAAATTAAGTATTAAACTAATTCCTATATTAATGACTCACCGTAACATTAAATATAGTCTGCGTCTTCAAATTTTACAACACAAACAATTAGAGACTAACCCACTCTTGTATAAATAATTTTAATTTTAATCTTCCCCGGCAGAGAACAATTGTTGTTTCGGGGAATGAAACGCGCACACAGGATTGCAGAAAGATGACGCATAGCGACCAATTTTCTATTGCGGAATCTTCGCTATATAAACAGAACCGAAACCGCGGTGATTGGAATCGGAGTCGTCGGTCTCAATCGCGACGATGGCAAAAGAAGTGAACGGATTCAACTTCGAGCAGAGGCACGGAAAGGAGAGGGTGAGGGTAGCTCGCGTGTGGAAGGATAAGGATGGACGCCATTTCATGGTGGAGTGGAGTGTCAGTATCAGCCTCCTCTCCGATTGCGTCTCCTCCTATACCCGAGACGACAATTCGGACATTGTTGCCACAGACACCATGAAGAACACCGTATGTTCTTTTCTATCTCGTTCTACTTTTCTCGAGAAAATTCTGTGTGCTCTGGATTTGAAAGTGGCTCATGCATGCATGTATTTGCGGTTTTTTTCCAAGGTTGTTTTACTGTTTTTTTTTTTAATAGACTGTTCTACTATTGATTTCTTAAATACAGTTAATTTGGCTGATAGTTTCATTACTTGTGTTGTAATCTGGTTATAATTTTATTTGGTAATAATACAGGAAACGCTTTGGATCTAATATTCCTAACATTTTGGATCTTAAATGCTTTTACGTTTGGCTTTTAAGTAGCTGATTAACTATGTCACTGGAATCAGAGTCTATTCTTATGCTACCTGGAATTAGCTGGCTTCTTTGATTATTTGATTACCTTGATTCCCGTTGGTTTCCACCCTGCAATAAGATTCAGCTTTACCAAAGAGATGGAAGATCTATAATTTGATGGTTCTGATTGGATTTGTTTAGGTTCGTGTCAAATATGTCCTGTTTAAAAGTGATTTTCGTCTCCCGAGGAAAATTCAATCAACTTAATCAATTTAAGACGCTTGCCTCTACCATGCAGATGATGATTTTTTCTATCTCTCTGTTATTTTCACCCAGTGGCTGATGTTTGCGTGCATAGTCAAAGAGCAGTTTTGCTTATTTATTCATCAGCACACTACAATAGGTTAAATAAAACCAGAGTTAACCTAACGCCTCTTATCCCGAGGGCAGTAAGACCTATTCTAGGGTCAATGATTCTACCAAACATAATATTTTATAGTCAAATTAATAAAAAACTAATCAGATACTAACAGAAAAAGGTTTATAATAACAACAGAAAAATATTGTAATCGTATCCAACAGCTTGGGATGTCAAAGACATGGCCATAGTGAGAGCAGAGTATTCTGGATTGAACATAGATATGATACTACCACTGGTCCTTAATATAAGATTTTGTTTCACTTTTATTTTGGTCTTAAATATAAGATCCAATCCATTTTGTCTCTTATATTTATCTTTTTTTTTTTCCAAAATAGTCCTTGAAATAATGATAGTTCTAGCTAATAAACTTGATCAGCAAGGATATTTTAGAAAAGACGATACATATTTATTCCAAATAACTAACTTAACTTATTTCCTTAATCTATTTAAATTAGTTAACTAGCTCTTATATTTAGGACCAGAGGTAGTATGTTGTGGAAATTGTAGTTTTAAGTTGGGCCTTTTGGAGAGCTGGGTTATGTACCCACGTTTGCATCCTACTTTCTTATTAAGGGTATCTCATGTGAAAATGAAATCATGAAGCTATAATCAATTAGCAGTTGGTGGGAAATTTCGTCTGTTATATTTATCTGGATATGTTTGTAGTTATATTCCCTAATTTTCAGGTGTAATTGGGTTCACTTTTGAGACTGAAAGACAGTTGTTATCACTAATCAGGTATATGCAAAGGCAAAGGAATGCTCTGAACTACTATCTGTGGAGGACTTTGCTATTGTCCTTGCCAAGCACTTCACATCATTTTACAGTCAGGTTTTTGATAGACAATTTAATATCAATCTTTAAACCATCTTTTTTGTATTTTGCCACTGAATGCCTATTTTTGAATGAAAATCATAGATTGCTAAATTTTGACAAATTATACGATTGTATTATGCCTTTTTCTTTTTTCCTATCACTTTCCCATTATAAACTATCCCCCAGTCTCTTCTAAAATCTGTGCTTGCAATTTTCCTTTTCATAATTTACATATAGCTTGTCATCACTTAGGTGAGAGAACAGCAATCTTGGCTTTTTGTAGGTTACTACTGCTATTGTGAAGATTGTGGAAAAACCATGGGAGCGTGTTTATGTGGATGGTCAACCTCATAGACATGGTCAGTCTTTCTGCGATGTTGTTTCTGTTAGAAGTTTCTCCTAGATTTTGCTTCATTGTAGGGATTCGGGAACAATTCTTTCCTTGTTTGTTTTTTATTTCTTTATTGCTAGTGATGCAAATTTGTATTTGTTGGTGAAAAAATCTGGTATGAAAGTTTCTTATTAAAACTGTTTCTGGTTAAGGAGCTATCAATACATGTTAAATGGCTTCTACTGCAAAAGATGGAAGGCTTTATGATTGCCTGCTTAATAATTCTTCAAAAGACTTAAAATGTGTTTTTGTAACGCACAAGCACTCAAACACACTTCATATTCTCCACCAGAATCCTATAAGAGCTGTCGACAATGTTTGAGGTTTGGTATCCACTTGCATAGTAGGTGCTGTGCTTCTCAATTGAAATGTCAAAAGAGTTGTAGCCATTGAATCAGACCATTTAAAAGACAATCTTAGGATTACTTTTTTGAAAGTCAATTTCTGGATATTGCATTATTTATTTCAAGGAAAAGAGAAAATATCAATCAAGAAAAAGTATTTTGGATATTGAAGATGCTACTGTACGCAAACTACGTAGTGTGGAATTCCTGAGCTTTTGCTTTCATTTTCTATTTTTGGTTCATTGGAAATAAGCTGGCTCCTAGGGATACTACTGTATAAAGCTCCTTAGCTCTAGGCTTATGAATAGTATTGCCCATAGTTAAAGCACAAAAGTATCGTTCACTGATTGAATATATTTCTCTGCTATTTCTCTACCCTTCCTCACATAGTTGTTGATGGCATGTATGATGGGCACTACTTAATTGGTAGCTTTCATAAAGCGACCCTTGTAATTGGTTCCAGAACTGTATATTGATATAAATATGTAGATTTATTCCTTTGTTTTATTTTTGTAAGGTTTTAAACTTGGATCTGAAAAGCATACAACTGAGGTGATAGTAAAGAAGTCTGGTGCTCTACAATTGACTTCTGGTATCGCTGGATTGTCTGTGCTGAAAACAACCAAGGTAAGCTTATTATACTGCTTAAATATGATTTAGATACCTCGTACTATTGTATTAGTCTCCATTAGCCTCTTGCAGTTTCCCTCCTAGTCATCTTAGCAACATCATGTATGACAATGACGGAGCTCTACAATTCTCTGACTACTTCCCATGGCTATGATTCTCAGCCATTCCTTAATGGTTTCCACTGAACTCACTTTTAGTGGCTGGAATCTTTAATACGAAAATCTCATGGTCTCCACTCCTCACAACTTCCTATGTTGCACCAATAATTCATATGGCAACTTTCTTAACAGCAATACCAACAAAACAATGGTTCACAGAAAAGAGAAAAGATTACTAGAGTGCGACAGTCTTAACATCCATTACCCTTCTCCTCTGCTTTGAAATATCTAAAGAACTGATTGTTGATGGGGGTCCATGTAATTGAGTTCACTTAGTGGGATAAGTCTTTATTATTACTACTACTACTACTACATGACAACAACATTCTATAACCTTAAATAGATTATAGAAGGTGCTCTAACTATTAGACATAAGCTTGGCAAAACCATCTAACAGTTCCCTTATTAAATGCCATTAGTATTAGGCTAGAATTTTTGAAAATTTGCTTCATATTGTGAAAATCCTAAAGAGGAGATAGAGACACGTTTGTGGTTTCAATATTGTGTGAATGCAAAAATTACATTTTAATACTTTTTTTAGGTAGTTTTTCCCCTTAAAAAAGGACTTATCCTATCCTATCCACAAAATGTATAGAAATTTATAGAGGATGATGAAAGTCACTAATCCACTAACTGTTTTGCCATGTTTCGGATTATGGATGATATTGTTTAACATGAAGTGAAAATTTGCTGGATTATAATTCATCATTAAAGTTAAATGATGACTTGGGAATTTATCGATTTCTACTTGTTTATGATATTTTCCCATACGTGTCTTTAAGTTAATCAAGCACTGCTATTCATAGTTCTTGACTTCTTATATTTATTTGAATTGGGGAGTGTAAGTTTGATCAGTCCCTTGTTAACTAAATAACAATGAAATGAATGGTCATAATCTCAGTCAATATTGCAAATATCAGTGAGAAAAGTAATACTCCTCCGGTCCTAATTATAAGACCCAATTGACTTATTTGAGGAGATTAAGGAAGTAAGTTAAGTTGGTTATTTATAATAAATAAGTGTTGTTATTCCTAAAATATCCTTGCTAATTAAGTATATTGGCTAAAACTATCATTATTAGAAGGATTATCTTGGAAAAAAATGCATAAATATGAAAAATGGATTGGGTCTTATAATTAGGACCAAATAAAAGTCAAATTGGATAATAAAGACGGAGGAGTATTATAATGCTGAAAGAATCGCAATGGTTTTAACTAAGTCAACGGAACCAGAGATAATAAAAAATAAATAAATAAAAAGCCTAATGAAAGGGCTCTCTATTTCACTAAATTATGGTCTAAGACACAGAGAAGCCATTTGGCCAAAAATATTTGGTTATATGCCCAATGCATAATGAGATCATTTTGGTTCGGCAAAATTACAAATTCTGTCCAATGTTTTCGTGTTAGGGGAAGATTTTTAGTGTCCTAAATAGTCCTGGCTGTTAAAAAAAAAAAAAAGTGGATTGGTACTCTCTTTGTAACTGATTATTAATTCCTTGTTTGAAGTAAAGACTAAATTAGTAAGTATACTTGGCATGCATTGCTATACTGGCTTTTGTTGTGTTATAACCTTTTCTTGGTCATATTTACCAGTGCAGATCAAAATGGTTGAGGAGTATCATTGTTATTTTCAGAATTCTATAATATGTAAAAGAATGAATTGAACATAGTTGTACCCGACATAAACTTTTCTGAGTGGTAGACAGTGAAACTCTCAGGCCCTAGAGCTTGTCTAATATTTATGAGCTAAGCATTCATATTAACCATGCATAATAGATCTAAATCTGTCCAATATTGCTGAGTCTGTTTGCATGAGGATGTTAAATAAATGCAAGTACACCTAATTTGTGTTATTCTGATCTTCTAGTTCATCCTACCTCTTCAAGGGACTTTCTTGTTACTAAATGATAAAAAATAATGGTTTTTGCTGTTATAGATAGGGAGAGTTTTCTGATGTGGATTTCCACCTGACTGATGATTTTGAGTTTGCTGTGAGCAGTCTGGTTTTGAGGGGTTTATAAGGGACAAGTACACAGCTCTTCCAGAAACACGGGAAAGGATGCTAGCAACAGAAGTTACGGCACTGTGGAGGTGAAGATTTTCTTTTGTCCAAACATATTGCTACAAGTAATAGTGCTTTGAATGATAAAAGAAACCACAGTCCAAGCACATATGCTTTACACAAATTATTGCCACCCTAACAATGAGAAGCTAGCAACATAAGTAACACAGCATTATTGAGGTATGATTTATTTAGGGATAAGGTGCTTAAATATCCTGAAAGTATCTACGAAAGAGTGCTTTTTTTTTTGGGCTCTTATTTGTCTTAGAAGTTTATTTTCATAGCAAAAGCACCCAGAAATATCTAAGAGAAGCAAAGGACAAAACCTAAGTTAGGATCTTCACCAACAAAAATTGTGGTAAATTATTTCTGTTATAAGTTAAATCACACTGTTATATGATGATTTCTCTTTAACATGGAATATACGAAATCATGCTTTTAAATAGAATAGGTTGCAGGTGAAGAAATACACCAGAACAAGTTTCTATTCAGTGCGATATTTTATTCTCACATACGGAAACATATATAAAGTGAAGGCAACAAACATGCCTCCTCTAGCTAGGTATTCTAGGGTAAATCTTCTTAATTAATTCAGATAAGATAAAAACAGATTCTAACCTAAAATATTGTAAATAACATAGAATAAAAACAGAAATAATATTTTAAGAAATAAAAACATCACAAGCTACAGGAAGTGCCGAGCACATAGAGAGCCCTTATTGGGCTAGGGTTTGTGCCGCACAGCCCATGAGAACTAAGACTTCAAGTGCATCGCTTTTCAACAGCAGGTATTCCGGTAAATATCTACATGATATCCCTCAGAAGCCACGTTTCTTTTACAGTGAAGAAAAAGCAACTAGATCTTCAAGCTCACAAATTCTTAAGATTTCTAAGAGATAAAATTAAAATCTCCTCTAACTAGAACAATTGTAACTAATCATTTCTATCACAAGTTATATCACTATTGTTGGTGTGTTTTCGTTTAACATGGAATATACAAAGTCATGCTTTTCAACTGAATGATTTGCAGGTATTCCTATGATTCTGTACATAGAATCCCTCGAATGCCAATTTACTTTACTGAGAAGTATCTAGGTGTCAAAAAAGTTCTAATGGACACTTTCTTCGGCCCGCCAAAAGAGGGAATCTACAGCCCCTCTGTTCAAAGCACACTGTATCAAATGGGAAAGGCCACGCTGGACAGGTCTCTGCTACTTTTTGTGTGTGTGTGTGTGTGTTCACGTGCGGTGTAGTTGCTTATCTGTCACCCCTTCCTCCTATAAAATCTGTTCTCTTTTGGGTTTCAAATTCAAACACATGCTTCTGGCTGTTAATTAGATGCTTATCATGAGTATGTTGGGATTAACGATCGATTTATTAATGTTTCAGATTTCCTGACATATCTTCAATCCAACTGAACATGCCAAATCTTCATTTCTTACCTGTCAACCTCTCGAGCAAGGATGCTCAAATTGTAAAGGTATGACCAGTTCTTTTTCTTTTAAATGCTTGATGAAGTTGATGAACGTAACAGAATCATGGTGGGAGGTCAAACATGGTACAATGAAGGAGATCTTCAATGTTATAAAAAAAACTAGGATTTTCATTTTTTTTTTCCATCTAGGTATTGATTGCAGCTGCAAATTATGCCCAATCATGAGATTCATTTAAGCTTGACTTTCTTTTGGCTTTTTGTCTATGATTTACTATGTTCGGTTCTTAATATAAGACCTAGATAATTAATTTGCGAATATTAAGAAAATTATTTGTAATAAATAAATATTATCTTTCTTATAATACCCTTGTTAATCATGCATGTATATTAAAATGGAAACCATTTAACATGTGTAATTACTATGGGATTATTTTGGGAAAAAATGAATAAATATGGGAGACAAAGTGGACTGACGTCTTATATTTAGAATCAAATTGAATTTCCAACTAGGTCTCATATTTAGACCGGACGTAGTATTTAGATTAGTATTAGTCTAAACTATATTCACACCCATGCGGTAGATGGCTTGACTTAAGTTACATTCAACCTTTGCTAGAGATGAAATATTGTAGGAGGTAAAGGGTGTATCAATGTTGTGAACCCAATGGGTCAGTGAGTTTCAAAGAAACATGAATAAATCATCGAGAACAACTAAAGAAGCCACTTGTTAAACGCATCATCTAATTGAACAAGTCTGCCTGTTATATTTTCCTTTTCTTTCATAAATATATTAATTACAACTTATCATTATATCAGTTACTATTTTGAATATCCTTACTAGCATGTGGGTTGTCAATATGTACTAGTATCTGTCATTTCATGTGTTTACTTTGAAATTAACATCTCAAATTATTGTTGTTGTTGTTGTTTCCTTCTTTTTTTTCCCCCCAGTTTGATAATGATGTATACTTGCCAACGGACGAGCCCCATGGGTCAATTCAAGCTAGCTTGAGCCGTATCTGGTCAAAGATGTAAGGGGTAATAGAAGTCCATCCCTTCTGGCCCTTGGAAATTGCAGCTTTTCACGCAACTGTGATTATGTTATTTTTATATGTAGATAGTTCTCAAATAAACCTGTTTCATGGAATAACAATATGAGCAAATGTAAGACTTGCATGGTGCATGTCATGTTGTATTTATTGTTGTGTGATAATGCTGTGTTTATGTGATGAGATGCTATGGCTGGACTGGACAAGTTGGTTTCATTGTCATCTCATATTTTAGTACAGTTGAATTGAGACTTGAATTTGTCCGTATCAGAGTTATGAAAACCGGACTGGATACTAGAATGAACCACGAGCCAGTGAATCGGACTGAATAATAAGTGGACTGATTATAATACTATGTTTGATCGATAATATAAGAACTAAATAATTAATTTGAATATATTAAAAAAATTAAAAATTAATTAAATTGGTTATTTATTGTAAATATGCGTTGATCTTTTTAAATTAGAATTTATACAAATTCAATGGAGGCCTATCACTTGATACGGAGAGAAGGTGGAATCAACCGCCCGCATCAGGCTGAAATTTTACGGATCAGGAATCTTATTTATTCTGACTGGAACATTGAGATTAGACTTGTGGCACGGAATGCACCGCGTTGTGCTCATTACTCTGCAAAGGAGACCCACAACATGGAAGAACCACGAAGTGATGAAGGAGACCGACCCTAGCTGTCGAGCTTGACTAGAGCTGGTATGAGTCGGGTTAAAAAATCTTATTTAAAAGTAAGTTGGCTTCCAGCCGATCCTATCTTATTAAGATGGGTTAGCGGGCTAACCCATCAATAATTATTTACTTTTGTTTTTTTGAAATTTTTTTATTTTTTTAATATTTTTTTATACAATATCCAAAAAATATATATAATGATATTTTTGTTTTTTTAAAAAAATAATTTATTGAAAGCACCAAATAAATTATATAGGTATTTTTTTAAATTTTTTTAAATAAGATATAATATATAATAATATAATTATAATAATTAAAAAATAAATATAAGTTAGTCTCCAAGCAGGCGGGCTAACCCACGATGAGTTGCAGGCGTGGCAGCGTGAGTAAAGAAATGCTTGTTTACTGGTGGAAGCCAACCTTTTTTGCTGGTTGAACCTACATATTATCAGTTCTAGCTAGAGTAGGATAGGATAGTTGGGACCTCAATTAGGGGCGTCACAAATTAGCAGTCTTCTTTACAAGTCTGTACTTGACTTTTGATGTTTTTAAAAAAATTAATTAATTGGAAGATACTAAAAAAAAAGAAAATCATAAAAAAAATCTTGAAAAAAGAAAAATTGCAAATTGAGACTAGTCACAATATTAGTATTGGTTTTAATAACAATTGATAAGTAAATGATAACAATTTTTGTGAACGAATCCATATATGTAATTTTTTAATTTTCAAAGTCTTTTTTCAGGGATTGTTTGTTAAAAAACTAACTAAGTTAGTTATTTATAAAAAATATATATTGATCTCTTTAAATTATCCTTTTTAATAATATGTACTAGATGATTAGAGTTATCTCTTGATAAAATTTTCTTGTAATTAATAAGAATATCTTGAGAAAAAATAAAAGACAAAATAAATAAAAATTTATATTTAATACTAAATTTATTTTCTAATTAGTTGTTATATTAAGAACAGAGGATACTAGTAATAATCTGGACATAATAAAATTGTAAAAGGCGCTTCATTTTGTTTCTTTCTTCGTTTTTTTTTTTTGGGGGGGGGGGGGTGGTGCGCTAAACCAATAATTGTGGGCCTACACCCCAAATCCCTATCCTCCAATCATGCAATTGTCTCTTCATCTGACCAAGTTAGCCCAATTTCAGCGATGTGGGGCTTCAAGCTCAATCTTCAACAAGGCACTCTCCCCACGCAATTGCTTTTTCTCTCCGATCAAGTTAAACCCATATCACTACCAAATTGTACGCAGCTATCCCACGCATCTGACAAAGTTTGAAAGTTTGACAAAATTTGCTTAATGTTAGATAGATAATCTTTAGGTAGTTAATGTTAAAGGTTTTATCAAATAATAAATTTAATAAATAATAGATATTTTTAAAAAAAATTTATTTATTATAAATAACTAAATTAATTTTTTAATTTATTTAAATTAGTCAACTTAGCTCTATATTATTAAAGATAAAATTATAATTCCATGTTATGTTGGAAGCTACTGTCACCAACAATAAAATTTTTACCATACAAATCAAAATATGAATTCATGAATTACCAAACATGATTTAATTAAGTTCAAAACTCTTAAGAAGGTTAATGTAATGCCATCCATATCTATCACCACTCAGTTTTAATGTCAAAAAATGGAAGACCTTTTATTTGCGCGATATTAGAATTTAGTATGATATCATGCATGACGCCAAACTATTGGTAGGGCTAATATTATACTCACTCAGTTTCTTATTATAAGAGACATTTAATGCTTATAGCATGTTTCTATATATAAGAGACACTTAAAAGTTGTTTTTATTTTTTTGTGTTGATTTTCTATTTTACCCCTATTTATTTTGTCTCCAACTCACACTCTCTCTCCCTCCTACTTCTTTTTCTTTTAATAATTTAATTGTCCTCTCTCATGCTCTCTCTCCTTATTAATGAGGGCATTTTTGAGAGAAAAAAAGTTATACTTTTTCCACATTGATTACCCTTAACTAATTTTAATCGTTTTTTTATCAACGTAATTCGGTTATTCGTCTCTTATAATAAGGAACGAAAGGAGTATATATTAGGAAAAATTATGATAAAAGACCTGAAAAACCAACTATCAACATGTAAGTTTGAAAGTACTAAATTGCCCCTCAAATTCTCTGTGACTTCCCCACAAACACGGTACAGAAACTCAAAAACTCAAACGATGCAGCACTAACACCTACAGTTATAAGCAGAATCAAATTATAAGGAGAACTTCGACGCCTCTAGACGGCGCAACCACCTTCCTCCTTGTCGTTACCACTGCCATTTCCGTATGATGATAATACAAATACCAAATTGAACATCAATGGTCTCAAGGCTTCTTGCATTATTTCCTGAGCTATTTCGCCGACAAACTTCTAAAAATTCTTCAATGAAATCTGTAGATGGAATTTATTTATCATACTCTCCCCCACTCCAACGCTTGCATCCCATAGGCTCGAGTTAAGGCCAATAAGGGATAAGATACCTAATGGATAATGGGGCAATTTAGTATTTTGAAAATTATATTTTGATGTCTGGTCCTACTCGATAATTATAACTTTTGTGGTTCTTCTTAAGAAATATTCTTTTCTTTAGGTCTTTTATTCTCATTTTCCCCATATATTATGTCAGTAACTTCAGAAACTTTATGACCTTCTATAATAACGGTACTACGTTTCCATGTATACCATCACCTCCAAAATCTAGTTCAATCTAGCTCAGCTTCGTTCCTGGAGAAATCAAAAGCCATGGATTCCCAAAACAAAGATCATGATTCAGCATCAAGACTCCTTCATGCCCAAACCCACGTATTGAACCACATCTTCAGCTTCATAAACTCAATGACCCTCAAATCTGCAGTAGATTTGAACATTTTTGACATCATTCACAAGCATGGCAAGCCCATGCCTCTTCCCCTTCTCATCTCTTCCCTTCAAATCCACCCTTCTAAATCTGAAAACATTCATCGCTTAATGCGAATCCTCACCCATTCTGGCTTCTTCTCTCTCCAAAAGCTTCCTCATAATGATGATGGCGAAGAAATTGAGCAACAAGGCTATGTCCTCACTGATGCATCTGCCCTTATGATAAAAGACAACCCTTTAAATCTCATCCCTTTCCTCCATCCCTTGTCGGATCCCATCGCAACAAAACCTTGGAATCAAATAGCTAATTGGTTCCAAAATGATGATCCGACGCCGTTTTACACGGCAACAGGAAAGACATTATGGGGGGCTTGCTGAGGTTGATCCTAAGTTTAGTCATTTTTTCAATGATGTTATGGCTAGTGATGCCAAGTTGGTGAGTAGTGTGGTTATTGACAAGTGTAAGGCTGTCTTTAAAGGATTAGAGTCATTAGTAGATGTTGGTGGTGGCACCGGGACAATGGCTAAGGTTATTGCTCGTGAATTTCAAGAACTACAATGTACTGTGTTTGATCTTCCACGCGTTGTTGATGGTCTCCAAGATAGTGGGAATGTCAAGTTTGTAGGCGGAGACATGTTTGAGGCCATTCCTCCTTCTGATGGCATACTTTTGAAGGTGATTCTAATACTACATCTGATTATTAATATGAGAACTAGTTAGATATTCAATTTGATCTTAAATATAATTGTCTTTAATATTTATTCATTTTACTCCCAAATAATCCCCATGGTAATTGTACATGGTAAGGAGTTTTTATCAAAGAATAATTTTAATACACATGATTGATTGATAGAAGGATATTTTATTTAGAAAAGATAATATCCATTTATCACATATAACTAACTTAATTAAATTTATTAATATCTGCAAAGTAGTTATGTTACTCCTATATTAAGAATTGAAGGTAGCATATTCATGTGTATTTATTTCCCAACCAATAGTGCAAAATACTAATTTAAGTACATGATTTCGCATCTGTTATGTTCTGTTACTTAAGGAACTAAAGTGATGATGATAAATATTTTGACATATTTTTTATTCCGCTTTAAATGAATTAATCAGCTAATTGTCATGTTATTTGAAACTTGTGTGCCTTATAATATCTAATTTTTTTCCTGAATGGGAAACAGTGCATTCTACATGATTGGAATGATGAGGAATGTGTGCAAATACTGAAGAAGTGCAAGGACGCAATTACAACCAACGGGATAAATGGAAAGGTCATTATAATAGACATTATCATGGAGAATGATAAGGGAGATATGGATGGTGAATCGGTTCAAACACAATTGTTCTTTGATATGTGGATGATGGTTATGCTCACTGGAAAAGAGAGGAATGAAAAAGAGTGGGCCAATTTAATCTCCTCTGCTGGTTTCAGTGATTATAAGATTACTTCGGTTTTGGGAACAAGATCTCTCATTGAGGTTTTTCCATGACGAATTAATTAAGTAGACTTGTTATTAATGGAAAAGAGAAAGTCTTATTACTAATAATATCCCTTTAAGATTGATGATGTTATGTGTAATTTGTTCGTTGTCTACCATGTTATATATAACAATAAGAATATTATGATCGATTAAGTTGATCAATTTAATCGTAGATTATTCATTAGTTTGAAATGTTTACCAAATTT